TTGACCCAAGAAAAGCGAAGCATTCTTCACATATTAGACATTTAAAAAAAAAAAAAGAAAGACAGAAAGAAGGGAGGGAGGGGAGGGGGGAGAAGGAGGAAAAGAGGAAGGAAGGAAACAAGCAAGCAAGGAAGGAAGGAAGGAAAGAATGGTGGGAGGAAGGAAGGAAGGAAGAGGAGAAGGGAGGAAGGGAGGAAGAGGAGGAGGGAGGAAGGAAGAGGAGGAGGGAGGAAGGAAGGAAGGAAGAGGAGAAGGGAGGAAGGGAGGAAGAGGAGGAGGGAGGAAGGAAGAGGAGGAGGGAGGAAGGGAGGAAGAGGAGGAGGGAGGAAAGAAGGAGATCATTTTATAAAAGGATGAACAAAGCTCGTTTGAGGCAGACACTCATGATCGTAGGCTGGCAGGTCCACTATTATCTAGGTTATCCTTAAGCAGTTACCTCCTTCCTTCCCACCCTTCCTTCCTCCCTTCCTCCTTCCCTTCCTTCTTTCCTCCCTCCCTCCCTTCCTTCCTTCTTCCCTTCCTCCCTCCCTTCCTCCCTCCCTCTCTCCCTCCCTCCCTCCCTTCCTCCCTCCTTCTCTTTCTCTCTCCTTCCTTCTCTCCCTCCCTCCCTCCCTCCCTCCCTTCTTTCCTCCCTCCCTTTCTCCCTTTCCCCGCTTCCTTCCTTCCCATGGAGCCTGGTAGTTGGTCATGCCAATGCCTGTAGACGGGAAAGCTCTGAGCGAGCACAATCTAACGGCAGGTCTAATAACGAGTCATCAATTGGCGACAAAGTCTCTAGTCCTGCTCATAGGCCTGTGGTTTGTTGACTGCATTCTTCATTCAGTTAGAAGTTAGTGAAAATGGTGTTTTTTCCCCATTGAAGTTCATGGATCCCCTGCCATCTCTGGCTTCCAACACCACCACCACCCTAGTCCCTGCTGAAGACTGCAGAGTGAAGCTAATGGGGGTGGTGGGGGAGAGAGGAGGCAGTCATGGGCGAACAGCCCAGGACCCAAAATGAACCAGACAGGCTGGAATTCTGGCCCCAATGCAGCCTGATAAAATGTACCAGTAAAGGGTTGGCCCGGGTATGCAAGATCAAATGAGCTGCCCAGTCACAGGTAGGTTGAGATATGACAAAAGAGAGAGAGGCTAGAGAAAGTGCTTACTACAAGGTGCTGCCCCTTTAAATACTGAGGACACCAATACTAGTCATCAAGACAGCCCTTGCCCTCAGGGTGCTGACACTCTAATTCGAGAAGTCAATCCAGAAAGGAAACTAGAAAGGGGATGGAAGGTGGCCTGCCTCGGAAATGGTGGCTGCAAAGATGTAGAGGCCTGGTGCCTGGCAAAACAAGGTCTGCTGTGGCTTCCAGTAATCCTAATACGCCAAGATGCAGTTTCAATGGTCCCTTTTGCTTGTACATTATCCTCATTTCTAGATACATTCCTCCTCACTCCAAAACCTGTCCTCTGGACAAAGAAAAACTGTTAAGCAAAGCCAACCAGCCCATCTATGATGGGCTGTGCCCATAATCCACCCTCACCCCTTGTCATCATTGAGGCCAAGATCTGGTCATTATAATTACATTGTCATTATCAATTTCTTTATTTGCCTGTAGCTGTTTTCCTGGTTCTGCCTTCTTCCCTCATCTTTTCCTACAAATCTTTGCATATTTCTCTGAATTCCTGATGTTTGTGGTGTCTTAGTGACGTTTGATCCTACAAATATATCACAATGTGTTCAGTGTTCTTCTGACGGGCAGCTGCATTTCTCTACTTCTTTGCTACCACATTTGGGGGAAGGATCAGGGAGCAGAATGACGACTGTGCCACCGAAGGAGCAGGAAAATGAGGTGGGCTTGTTCATCCTGGAAAAGAAAAGCCTTAGGGAGAGAAGGGCTCACTTACTTCCAGTACAAGGTCATGGCAAGGAAAGGGCTTTGTGAGAACTGTGAAGCACTAAAGGACCGTGATATCATGATATCAGAAGGGTGTCTAGGCTAGGCAAATGTAATTGATTGTTCTCCGTGGCCCATGGCAGCAGATCTTGGCTGACTCTCTAGTACAAGGAAGGTGGGCTAAGAAAAAGAGCACAGTGGGGGCTCTCCCCCTGCTGACTTCTTGTCTAGTAAGAGCTTCAGAGGGCGGACAACCGTCCAGTCACTACAAGCCGCTTTTATCCACTCCACTCTTCCCTTGCATATGCTGAACTCACCCGTGACTCAAGGTTGAGAAGAGAGAAAGAAGGGCAGATGCTCTGGCAGCTAAGACCTGGGACAGAGCTGGGGAACATCAGCCAGGTTCCCCAGGATTGAGTACTGGCCTTAGAGTCAGGAAGACCTGATTCCAAAACCCCATCTCCCACACTTCCTAGAAGTATGACTTATGAGCAAGTCACTTACTCACTGTATGCCTCCATTTGCCCATTTGTAGAATGGGTCTATAACACCTGCGGTGCTCACTTCATAGGCTCATTGTGAGGTTCAAATGAGAGAAAATACATTAAGTGCTTTGCAAACCATAGAACAGTTGGATAAGGTCCCACGTTCCTTCACAGTTTGTCATGGTAAAAATACTGATTTTTTTTTTCTTTTCCCCAGAGAGCAAGGTGGGAGGGAGGGCTACCTGGAGGGCAGTTTTGCTTAGATAGATGAGCTGAGTGGGAGTAAAGAATTGACGATGATGCCTAGGTTTCAAGCCTGAGCAACTGGGAATATGGTGGAGAATGAGAAGGAACCAAGGAAAAGGGGAGGGATGGAGGAGGTGAGAGATAGAGTGATTTCTGTTGAGTTTAACATAGCTACAGGACAGGCAGTTTTAGATGTCCATTTGGCAGCTGGTATTGTGAGACTGGAGTTCAGGAGAGAGGTTAGATCTGGATAAATAAATTGGAGAATAATTTGCATGGAGATGATCATTAAGCCCATGAGAGCTGGTGAGCTTACCAATAGAGTAAGAGAAAAGAGTAAGGACAGCCTCCTTGGGAAACTCCATGGGTAGTGAACATGATCTGGAAGAGGATCCAACAATGAGACTAAGAAGGAGCGGTCAGAGAAGTAGGAGGAGAACTAGGAGAGAAGAAGGAATCCAGGAGGACAGGGTGATCAGTGAAGATTGGAAAAATGTCATTAGATTTAGCAAGAAAGAAAAAAATTAAATTAACAATTTTTAAAAGATGTAGCAAGAAATCACTGGTAACTTTGGAAGAGCAGTGTCAGTTGAAGAAATAGATTGGAGAAGAGAGAGCTCATGGTAAATAGCCTCCATTTTCTCCATCCATTGGTGAAGTCCTCAGGTGAGAGGGTAGCAAGAGGCACAGTCAGGGTAATGGAGCCAAAAGAAGGGAAGAAGAAAAGGGCCAAGGCTTAGAGCAGCCACTTTGGGAAATGGTATTTCAAGGAAGATGTTTTCCTGGGTAGCCTTGAGAACCCAGTTGAGATTTGATGACAGGAATTTGTAATGGGTCCAAAAGTCATTCCATTTTATAGGAACTTAAATTAATAAACACATTTCAATATAAAAAGAACAAAAAGAACAAGAAGAGTTGTGCATGAAACCGTGAACTTCTGATACCTGGTTTGATTTTTAAAAGTGTATGTCACTTTGAGGAGGGAAGAAAGCCATAACAACATTTCCCCATTTTTGTCTCCTCTTCAACTGCTTTCTTTTCTTCTGGTTTTAAAAAAACCAATTACATTGAAGCTTGCTCTTTCTTTCTTTCTCTCTCTCTCTCTCTCTCTCTGTCTCTTTATTACTACCCACTAACTCATCCCCCATAGAAATATTCTCTTGTAATAGGTATAATAAAGGAAAATAAATCAACACTTGGACTACGTCTGAAATTGCATACCCCATTCTGCACCTGTAGCTTCATCAGCAGTCATGATTGGTCACTGGATTGATCAGAGCTCTATAAACTTTAAATTTGGTTTCCTTTGCATTATTGCGGTTATTGTGAAAATTGTTCTTCCAATTCTTCTCATTTCCCTCCTATCCATTCATACAAGTGTTCTAAAGTTTCTCTGAATCAAATTTTTTTTTTGAGACTAAGTCTCCATATTTCACCCAGGCTGAAAGTGCAGTGACCACTCATAAGCCCAGTCCCATTAGTGGTCAGAACAGAGATTCAACCTGCACTGTTTTTCCTGACGTGGATTGGTTCACCACTCCTTAGACATTTGGTGGTACCTCTCTCCAAATTAGGGCTGGACTTGGATACCTGATTGGCTTAATATATCATTTCTTATGGTGCAATAATATTAAATTACATTCATATAATACAACCTTTCAGCCATCCTCCAATTGATGAGCACTCCCTTAATTTCTAGTTCTTTGCCAGTACAAATAGATATTTATAAGTAAATATATATAATATATACATATTTCTATACATCTGTGTCTTTTTCCTCTTTCTTTGATTTCTTTGGGATGTATACCAAGTAGTAGTATCAGTGTTTCAAAGGGTAGGCAAACTGACTTTTGGGGCCTACTTCCAAATTGCTTTCCAGAACAGTTGGACCAATTCACAGTTCCACCAACACTACGTTACTGTGCCTGCTTTCCCACAGTCCCGTCAGCATTCGCCATTTCACTCTTGTGCCATCTTTGTCAATCCAGTGGGTGTGAGGTAGAACCTTAGGATTGTTTGAATTTGCATTTCTCTAATTATTAGTGATTTGGAACATATACTCATAAGGTTGTTGACACCTTGCTTTTCTTCTTTTGAAAACTGCCTGTTTATATCCTTTGTGGGATATAAACGTCTTCCTTCATCATTCAGCAGCTCAAAAATATGAGTGGAAGTGCTAGGCCCTCACCACCACTGGAAGAACACATGAAGCAAAATGACCCCTGGTAAGGGACGCCCTCTGAGGTTCCTGCCTATTCTTAGCTTCTACAGGAATACAATATAAACAAAAGGCACCTGAATGACTCTAAGTTGGGCACTTTGGGTAATGGGGTGAAAGGGGGTCCCAAACATACTCTGACCCCACCTTCCTCAACTCTTTTTTCCCCAGAGTGTCTTCTGATCCTTGGCCTCATTGGGAGCAGCAGCAGCCACCAGGCCTGTCCCCTGGGTCAGTTCCCTTGTGGTAATACTACCATCTGCCTTCCTCAGCTCCTTCACTGCAATGGCCGTCAAGACTGTGCCAATGGGGCTGATGAAGAAAACTGTGGTGAGCCTTGCCCTTTCCCATGCTCAGGCCTCCTCCTCCTCAGCGTGGCAGGGGGTCCAAAAGTGGCTGGCCCCTCTCGGGCTTTCTGGTAGCTTCTAAACCCAAGCTCCTGCCTGGAAGTCTTATTAGCTCAGGCTATCTTCTGCTTTGTCCTCTGGGAGTTGAGAAGAGGAAGGAACAAGAGAGGAACATTCTTCACTGCCACTTGCCTTGCCCTCCTGCTTCCCTCAGAGGGCCTCAGTTTCCTTATCATCCCCATGCAGTCTTTGGGGTGCATTTGGCTGATTTGAGTGATGGTCCTGCTTACATGTCTTCTTCCTTCCCTTTGGTCCTTCCAGTGGACAGAAGTGGGTGGCCACACCTCTTGGACCTGCTTCAGAGAACAAAGGGAGGTCGAATGAGGACTGAAGAGAGACTACAGGAGTGCAGTAAGTATCTGCCAGGCAAGGAATCGGGGCTTGGTGCTCCCCTCTCTGAAGCTGAGTCTACCCTCCCCCTCCCTTCACTGCATTACCCACACAGCCCCAAGGCATCGAGTGCCAGGCTTGGAGTTAGGGAGACCTGGCTGCAAGCCCCACCTGCCACATATCAGTTGTGTGACCCTGGGCAAGTCTCTAAGACTGGCAGGAACCTGCACTTCCCCCATCCCAATGAAATCACAGGCTGGAGCAAATTAATATAATGATAATACTACTACCAAATAACTCCCTATCAAGACTAGCCTGGCCAGGCTACGTGTAGAATATCGAGTTCCATTCTAAAAACCACAATGACAAACTGGGATGTTAAGGGATTGGAAACTTCCTTCTATGAGGAGTTCTATCAGGAGTTCAAGGGACTCCTGAATCTGGAGTCTAGACCCTGTGTGGCCATAGGCAAGACATCAAAGCTCTCTGGGCCACAGCGTCCTCCTTTGTAAACTGAGGGCAGTGGACCCTTCCAACTCTAAAGTCTATGATCCTGTAAATCGGGGATAGTTAATCTAAGAAAGAGAAGCCTTATGGGGGATATGGAAAGCGTCCTCAAGTATCTGAAAAGCTAGCACATGGTAAGGACATTATACTTTCATGTGGCTTCAGAATGGAGTCAAACCAAGAGGAAAGGTCCAGTAGCTGGCACAGTGCCTGGCACATAGTAGTGCCTGGGTCTGATTGTTTGATTACAGGAGTGCAGATAAATATTGGCATAACACAATGAAAGATGGAACTGTCCCAAAGTAGGATGTATTAGAAGGTAGTGAGATCCCCATGACTGAAGGCCTCTAAGTAGAAATTGGATCTCATAGAAAGGACTCATGATGTCTCAGGCAGGAGCTGAGAGGCTGCCTCTCAGGCCCTCCCAACTCTGAGATCTTAGGTTGGGGGATGGGCACCATTATCTGCCTGTGATCCTCTGTGTCAGAAGCAATGCCTCAGTGCCTCTTCTCCATGGGAGGCCCCAGAAAGGGTTCCCAGGTGGCCTTTGTACAGCCCTTTTTATCAGATCTTCATTATCTCCTAATTGCCTGGTCTTTTTCTACATTTCTTTTGTTAAAGGGGCATTATTTGTTTAATGAATGCAGGCTGTGTGTCTCAGGGGATCTTAAGGCTGCGCTGACATCCCTCCTGTGCTTTTGCTCTATGTCTGTGCTTTCTGACCCTCCTCCCTCCCTCATCACCCCCAGCCCTGCCCTGAGTTGGCCCTGATTCCTGTGCCACCTCATTGTGAAGGCTAGGGCTCCTCTCCGTGCCCAAGGTTCTCTGGTATTCCCTCCACTTACTTTCTGCCATCCCGGGTCATTGCTGAAGCTTCCCTCCCCTTTGTCTCCTGTTTCCAGGATAGAGATAATGTGATAAGATGAAATAAGAAGTGTAACAGGTCCTACATAAATGTTATTATGATTATGATTATTGGTGATATAACAACTTGCATTTCTGTAGCACTCGAAAGTGGACAGAGGACTTTCTCCACAAAAGCCCTATGATGTAGAGAATGGCAGGATTATTCTCATTCTTCAGATGAGGAAACTGAGTCTAAAAGAGGTTAAGTAGTTTGCCCAAGATCACATCGTTGTGACTGTTTCTAGTCCCCAAGCCTCTCTGATATAATGCAGAGCTTTTCTCTCTTATTCCGGCTCACTTCAGGGTCGTCAGCTATTCTACCATCTACTACGGAGGCTGCTGTTAGGAAGCCTCTCCCTTGCAGGTTTCACTTAGTTCTTTCTCCTCGTAGCGTGAAGGTGACGCTGGGCTCTTGAAGCTCATGGGAGCAAAGAACAAATGTTGTCAGGTCCTACACAATGGGAGAGGCTCTGAGTGCGAGCCCAACAACATGCTATGGAGCTTGTGTCCAAAGACCAGGAAAGGAGTCGTTCCTACAAGGGAATGAATGTTTGTGTGTAGACATGGGAATCTGCGTCAGAGTCCAAAGAGACTTCAGAGGCTTCACCCTCAAAAACACAGCCAGCCACTGGCTACCCAGGACAGACATTTCACAAGTTATGTGCAAGGTGTTGTCCTTGGGGATATACAAATATGAAAACAATAGCCTGCCTTCAAAAAGCTTACAATCTAATTAAATGTAAGATAAGCCATACAAAATACTGAGTATAGAGTGAGAAGACTGAGGTTCAGATTCAAACTCTGCTGCTTAGCACCTCTGTTTCCTTCTCGGTAGCATGAAAGGATTACAACAGGTGGGCATGAGAGCACAGATGTACTTCAAGATCGCAGATTTGCACTTTTCCCCATGTATTCTTTCACTCCTACATGCCATAGGAGACCATTCTCATGGACCACACACACATACACACACACACACACACACACACACACACTCACTCACGTACTCCATGAATGGGTCCTTCCTCCTTGGCCCCTGTGCCATGGCCTCTCCATGCTACCAGAAGATCTGAGTGGAGCTTCTATTAAAAACAGTCAAAGAGAGGAGAGAGGCCGGGGAGGGGGGGGTGTCACATGCAAAAGGCCAGGGATTCAGTAGGCAAAGACTTATGGGGTGGTTCTCTTCAGAGCTGAGCTCCCATGAACTCCACCCTACAGATGGTTCTCATCTGTGTATTGCTTTAATATATACCAAGTACTTAACAGCAAACAGAAGTGGGAGGTGAATTTATGCCCATTTTACAGAGGCCAAAACTGGAATTCAGAGAGAGATGCAACTTTCTCACAGTCACACAGTGAGTCTGTGTCAGAGATGTTTTAAACTCAACTTCCATGGCTATAGATGCCAAATTCTTGCCCCAGCCCCACACAGACCCACGGGCATTCTTTCAGGAAGTAAGGGAGATGGGTAAAACATACAAAATCCCTCCCCAGCTGTCTGCCTTCTGAAGCTTCTCTCCTTGAGCCCCTGGGCCCTCTGCTCTCTCATTCCCAGGACTGGAGTTCTACCCCAAGGGATGCAAGTGCTGGGGGCACACAGTTGACTGCATGGCTCAAGGGTTGAGCGGAGTACCCATGGATTCTGACAAGAACAACGTGTCCCTTCTGTGAGTTCCAAGCCTGGCATTGGGAGGGTAGAGATCTAGATGACCCAAGCTGGATGGGCAGGTCTGGACCCTTTTGTCTCCTCCTCTCCAGGAACCTCCAACACAATCGAATCCACCAGCTTCAGGACAAGCAGTTCATTGGCTTCCAGAGCCTGGAGGGGCTGTGAGTACAGCCTGGAAGCTTTGCCTTTCCCCTTGGCTGCCCCCTCAGCCCTTGCTGAGCCATCTTTCTCAGCCTTCTATTACTATTAGGGCCAGCAGAGGGTACTTCTCTTCCCACCCCTGTGCTGGGTTCTTCCCTGTGTGGAATTCTGGGGGTGGGGGGTGGGGGTGGCTGTGCCTTTGCGTGCACCTGGGTGGTTGGCCATGTCTGACACTGCGCCCAGGCTTCTGGCCTGCACACCTGCTCCCCCTCACCCTAGCGCCGATAGGACCTCTACCTTGGTGGGGGTGAAGCTGGAGCTAGGGGTCAGAGAGTACAGGGGTGTAGGGGAGGGCAGGCTCTCTGGCCCTTCACCATTTTGCTGCCCGTGGCCATGGCTCCCTCCGTCCCCCTGGTCAACCCAAGGGGCCTGTCTCCCTAAACCCCCTCCCTCTTGGAGCTTGAAGAAACTACCCCAAAAGAGAGCTCTCCCCTTGTGGACCTGGAGCTTTGGCAGGGATGATGGCAGCTGTTCTTTCAGGATACTCAGCCAGTCTTCAGTGGGCATTTTGACTAAGTCAAGTGAATGAGCATTCGCCAAGGTCAGAGCCTGTACTAAGCTCTGCGAATGCAAATGAAAGCCTGAAAAGGAGGCAGTCTGAGCCCTGAAGGAGCTTACCATCTAATAGAGGAAGACAACACATCAAAGGGGCTTGGTGGGGAGGCAGAGGCAGGAGCAAGGGCAGAGCCCAGAGAGCAATGAAGAAATGAGTGTGGCTGCCCTGGGCTCCTTCCTCCAAATGGAGGTCTGAGAGGAACTGACTCGTCAGAGGCAGCGGCCGAAGGCATCTTCAAGGATGAGGAAGCTGTTAAATCATGGCGAAGATAAAGTTCAGAGTCAAGAGTGGAGCCTAGAGATAATGAAGGACCAAGAATAGATTGGGTACTGGGGGGGGGCATGGCAAGTAGAAAGGGGGGTTCTGATTGGAAGGCCACTGGGAACAGGTGATCTTTATCTGAGAGAAAAGAAGCTTGGTGGTGGTGGCAGCGGCAGGGTGGGTGTGGGGGGCGGGGAGGAACACATGCGTGCTGTCTCCATACATGCAGAGCATCACCATGTGGAGGGGGGCATTGGCTTGTCTTCTTGGGCCCAGAAGGCAAAGCATGGGTGGATGGTACAGAGAGGCTGATATTGGCTTAGCTGGAAAAAAACTTGCATTGGAAGAAGAGTTCTCCAAAGCGGGCTGCCTTGGGAGCTAATGAGATCCTCATTATTCTGGGTCTGAGGAGACTGGGTGCTCCCTTGCCAGGGATAGTGCAGAAGCAATTCCTGTTCAAGTGGGTGTAGACGCCTCTAGTGGCCCATCTACCTCAAAGAGTTGGTGAACCTTCCCCATGCCTAGAACTCGAGCAGAGGCCAGATGACTGCATAGTGGCTCTGGTGTAAAGGAGCTTCTTCTGGTGTCGGGTAGACTGGGTAAAGTCCCTGGGGATTCTGGGCTGAGAGGTTTGAAATTGAGACGACTATGTACCTCACAGCCTCAATGGATCTCTTCAGTGTGGCCATGCCTTCCACCAGTGCAGGTCACGCCTCCCCCTTGGCTTCCTGTCTGTGATTTACGTCCATGCATTCTCACAAAGCCTCCCAAAAAGCTCTTCCTAACTTGACCGAGGCCTTTGAAGCTCTTTTGGATATCACCGTTGGTTGGGCTGCCCATCTCATATTCTTTGCTCTTCTCATCTGACCTAACCCCTTCCTTTCCTAATGATTCATTTCCTGGATGACATCTTCCATGCCATTCATGGCACACAAGTCATCTTTGGGAAGATGTGAGGAGCCTCATTACATGCCCCCAGCCCCACTGCCATGGTCTCTCACTACCTACAGTCTGGATTCTTGACAGTGGTGATATTTACAGCCACATGACCTCCCTAGGAGAAGTTTGGGCTCACTGCAGTTCTGTACAGTTTCTCAACCCCAACTTCTGGTCCCACTCTGGGCATCCATAGTGATACTGGGGAACCCTTGACTCATAACACGGCTGCCTCCCTATTGCATGTTGTCCAATCATTGTTGAGCAAAGTCAACTCTGAGACCACAACTATCAAGAAATCTTGTGTCAACTAACCATCTACATCGGAGACCCCTGTGGAGGAGGCTGCTTCCTGCTCTACCCAAACCAAATGTGGCTTTGAGGTCAGGAAACGGAAAACTCACTAGGATCTTGGAGCCTCAATCAATAGTATGACTATCAAGATGTGGTTGGCTAGAGACATTTTTCTTTTTTACAAAAGCCTGGCTGTTGCCTTCGTATAATTGCCTTGAAGATAACCTAGTAGGAAGATCAGGTGGAGACCACTTTCCAAACAATTTTCTAGAAACAAAAAAGTGGCACAGAGTTCAGTGGCCAGTACCTTCTCAGGCATCCTTTTGTCATTAGTCTATCAGTGATTGTTTCCATTCCTTTAACATCTCTCCCTCTTTGACAGATCCTGAAAACTGATTCTGGAGCGCCTTCCAAATTGTGCTGCATGAAGTGTGATTTCTTCTGTGGTTTCTTGGTCACTCTCCCCCATTCTAGGTGACTTCATCTTTTTAAGTGCTATTTCCCCTTCCTCGTGAGCATCAATCAGTGAGGTCTGAGAGTCCAAATGTGGCGTCTTCACTGCCATTGATGAGGAGAATCCATTTCTGTAAAATATTTCACTGGGTTTTCATCTTTTCAGATTCATCGACAAATGCTTCATTACGTGACTTAGTTGGGTTTCCTAACAAGCTTTCTATAGGCTCCTTTTCCCTCCACTGCTTTTTGCCATTCTGTGAATCTTCCACTTTCCTTGGCTTCCACATCTCTTAATGAGTAGACAAAATCTTTGCTGATGTAATTTCTATTCACTTATTTGGTGTAAAGAGGGGCCATAATCAGGGTCAACATCTTTACTTTTATCAGTTTTCCCTTTTTCAGAGTGGAAACCATTGCAATTGCCTCATCTTTTTCATTTGGGAGCGATTTGCCCTTTGCCCCAACTAATCCATAAGTCTGTCGATAGAAAGGTGCTTCTGATACAACTCCCCATCCACAATCAGCCATTCTCTGTTATAGCCGGTATGCTATTCAGGGCTCAGCCCATCTGGCAACTTCAAGCTCTTCTTGAAGAGAGCGTCTGCTTGTGCGGCTCTAAGTCTTCTGAGTTGTCTACGAGCTTTGGCATCTTTCATTTCCAAATCCTAAGCCGTGTTTCCCAATCTTCTTTTCTCTTTTCCCACGTGACTGTCTTTGTGTGAAGATCCCCAGGCACCAAGGGGGTATATGTTGATTCAGTTTGGAGGACTTAGTCAAATCCTTCCTAGATTTCCTCCACTTTTCCATGCACAGTTATCTTCATTGTGCTCATCTTCCTCAGCCTCCTCATGAGTACTACAGGATGAGATCTATAACTAAGGGTCCTCTGGCCATTGGGTCCCTAATGAAATCAACTCCTTTGTTTCTCTTCTTTGGAGCATCCTTCCATTTGGCAGCATCTGCTTATCTGTTTTTCTGGCTCCTGGTTCATATCTAGTGAGAAATGTCAATACGGCCGCGCTTCAGTTCCTCTGCTAGTATTTCAACGTGATGGCCGTTGAAGAGAGATCTCCCAGTCCGAAGACCAGATGTTGATGCTTTGCGCATAATGCTAAGAATGACACCATTTTTAGAGTCTCTTCCTCTTTTTCCACCCCCGGATTTGTGGTCATTTTATATTTTTCTTTATCTTTTTGCTTTCACGACATCTCTTATATGCATCCCATATTGTCGCCTCTCCCCTAGACTATTTCAGCAACCTCCTGGTTGGTCTCCCAGCCCCATTCTACATCCTCCTAAAACCCAGGTGTCACCGTGTCGCTCTCCTTCTCAATAAACTCCAATGGTTCCCTAGTGGTTCCAGAATCAAATAGAATATCCTCTGTTTGGCTTTCAAAGCCCTTCCCAACCTACATTTTCTGTCTTATTCCACCCTCCTCCTCTCTGTGTACTCTACAGTTCAGTGACACTAGCCCCCGGCTGTTCTTTGCATACCACCCTCCATCTCCCAACTCTGAGCATTATCCCAGGCTGTCCCCCAGGCCTCCAGTGCTCTCCCTCCTCAGCTCTGCTTCCTGGTCCCCTTTAATGCTGATTGCGCTCCACTTTATCTATATCTACAGCTAGTTGCTTGCATATTGCTCTCCCTTTAGAACATGAGCTTTGTCAGGGCAGGGACTGGTTTTGCCTTCCTTGTCATAGGGCTTGGTACATAGTACGTACTTACTCAATGCTTATTGACTTCACTACCTGGGAAGGCCACACTCATCTGGGTCCCTGAAGTAGGGAGCACTGGACCTGCCCTATGTGGGCACCAACCTTAGAAGCCATTGAGTCCAAACCCCCTTATTATACAGATGAGATAGCTAAGGCACAAAAATGGTAAGTGACTCTCCTAAAGTCACACAGTCAGAGAGGCAGGATTTGAACTCAGGTTCTCCGATTCTAAAGCCAGTCCTCACTCTGTTGTACTGCCTCTGAGCCTGGGCTGCCCTGGGGTGGAGCAAAGGATCCGCAGACAGCTCTCAGCCCCTTTCTTTTGTCCCCCAGCTTCCTGCAGAACAACGAGCTCCATTCCATAGCCCCCGGGGCATTTACTGGCTTAGCTGAGCTAAGAAAGCTGTGAGTAGTCCCTCCTTGGATGGGGGAAATGGGTGGTGGACGAGAGAGAGCCATGTACCTAGGCATATGCATAGGGCACAAGAGAAGAGAGTGTGCTGGGGGGAGGGGGCAGAGAGACAGAGAAGGGGCCAAGGACTGGACCATACCAGACTGAGAAAGCTGTGAGTGTCCCTTCTCTGGTTGGGAAATGAGGTTTGGACCCCCGGCACAATGGGAGCCCAGTTTGGCTTTCTCCCTATGGCTATCATCACTGGCCCCAGCCTGGGCACTGAAGGCCAGGAGGAGGGAAGGGGGGGGGTCCTGGCTGGGGCCTTGCCCTTAACTAAGACCCTGTCTCTCCCTGGCCTCAGCTTCCTGAGTCACAATCGGATCCACTCCCTGGCTCCAAGACTCTTCCAGGACCTCTGCCACCTGGAATGGCTGTGAGTTACCAGAGGGAAGGGCAGGAGAACCTGGGGGTCAGGAGGCAATCAACTGGGGGAAGCAGAGACAACCAAGTTGGGCTTAGCTCTTGCTGAGCGCAGCTGACCATGGTAGAGGGGAGGATGGGATAGTACTTGGGTTCCCATCTCCATTTTGAATTTGCTGTCAATTCCAGAAGGGGTCTTCTCTGAAACTTGGGTGTACCCAATGCACAGATGCCAGCCAGCCACAGGTCCTTGTGTGAAGGTGGGAAAAAAGCCCCACTGGTTAGGGAATATGGTACCTGTCTCCTCTTGCCTACTGGGCTGGGTCCCTGGTACCTCCCTTTGCCTTCTGTCTCTCTCTAGGATGCTGGACAACAACCAGATCACCGAGTTGCCACCTGACACCTTCCTGGGACTGAAGTCTCTGTACTTTCTGTGAGTCCTAGTCATGACCCCCTTGAGGTGCTAGAGCACCCTGGGGAGCACAGACACTGTTTGTGTATATGGGGGGGGGTGCATGTGGGGGGAGGGGAAGGGGCCACACTGGAGAAGGGAGGGCTCAGCGCACAACTGGTCATTCAAGAAGACTGCTCCGCTTTGCTCCATGCACAGAACGCACAGACATCGCTTCCCCCCGGTCCTTTGTGCTTGTCAAGACTGGCTGGTTCCTGAAGGCAGACACAATGGCTTGTGCTGTGGATCCCCCAGGGCAGTTTCCGCACCAATCATTTCTTCATTCCTTCCTTCATTCCACAAAGCTCTTGTCACTTCTTCCAAGGCTCAGTGCTCAGTGCTAAGAGGGAGACAGGAATGAATAGGGCCTAGTCCCTGACCACAAGGAGCTCAAGTCTCTAAGGGGGTAAGACAAAGAACTGGGCTGCAAACATGGTGATTAGCGCCCAAGACAACAACCTGTGGGAAATCTCAAAGGAGGGAGGCATCACTTCCTGCACTATGAGACCAGAGATGGTGTTTGAGCAGAGCCTTGAAGAATATCACAGCCGGGGAACCAAGGATTGAGGTGGTTTGGGGGACATAGGGTTAGTCTAGGGGCCCGGTGGGAGCTAAAAAGCAGACTCCTATGCCAGCCAAAGGTACTGCGTGAGTGCCGGATCCAGGGCATGTAGCTGGTGAATACGTGAGCGATGCCACCCATTCCTCACCTCCTCACGATGTCGAGCTGTCACTGCCTCTTACTGCACATCCACCGGCCTGGCTCTCACTCTACACCTGCCATTGTCTGCCATTGTGTGATCAATTGGCTTTCCCTGTATGAAATTTGCTACTGTCTGTAGTTGTCTGCCTGTCACTGTATGCTGCGCCGTACCTAGGAATTTTGGCGTTTGGGGCAAGTTCCATTTTATTGGGGGGGGGGAGGTAGAGCGTCTAGAGTGTCACTTCTGTTCAGCCCATGGCTCAAGTTGACCAGAGCCATAGGTCCAGTGAGTTCAGGAGGCCGAGCTGTCGGGATACCAGCGTATCTAGGTGACAGCAACAAGGATGTAGACAGGACAGAGTGCGCCTGTTGTATTGTTGGGTAGTGGTGGAAGAGGGAGGGTCCCAAAGGAGCAGTGGGTTGTGAGAAGGAAGCCAGAGCCTCCTCCTGGTCCTGGATGTCAGGGGACCAGAGAGAAGAAAGACAAGCCTTGAAGGAGGTACCAAGAGGTTCCATATCTTCAAGAGAAAGGTAAGTTTTCAGTGAATGCACGTCAGAGGACAAGGCATTCCGGAAGATGCAATGGAAAGGGAGGGCAGAGAAGAGGAGGGACTGGAGATGACTAGGGGGGAGCTGGGCAGGGGCCACAGTTGGGAAGAACTAGCAGGGGAAATGGGTTCTGAACCCCAGGGCCTCTCCTCCTCAACTCTGAAACAGTCCCACAGAGGCTTCATTTTGTTCTTAGTTACAAAGCAAGGCAGAGAGCAGCATTGGTTGGCAAGTGGCCTTCTGGGGATGAGTCATTTCCCACAGGTACCAAGAGTACATGGAATGCACGTGCTAATGCTGGGTCACCATCCTTAGAGATGGCTTGTTGTGTCACTGGCCTCAGGGGTTCACACAGAGGGGGCTCTCTTAGGGTTTTGGTTGTTCTTGTTCAAGAAGGCAAAATACATGCTGGGGTCACTTACACTGAAATGGAGTCACTCATGGCAAGCCCCCTCTGCCACCACAATATTGACCATTGCAATAATTGATGGCAATTTGTGGAATGCTTGGTCTGTGCAGGGCAGTGTGTTCGAGGCTATGGAGACTGAGGGAGACACTCTGTACCCTCAGGGGTGGTGAGCACCCTATTGCCCTGGGGATCAAACCAAGCTTCACCAGTAATCCCCAGCGATTCCATGTGTCCCACATGCCACAGGCCTCCAGGCCAGTTGGAAGGCTTCAATACTCTGGAGCTTAGCAACAAGAAGCTAGCTGAGAGGCCAGCACCAGGAGAGAAAATGTGCCTCCCAAATGATGGCACCTGGGACATCCCCAGTCACCTCATGCTAGTTCGTTTTACCTGTATGCCATTTTACTCCCACAGTCCATCTGTTGCCTTTCACCAAATAGCGCGGGATCATAGGATCAGTGTCGTAAGGGACCTTAACCTAATCCCTTAATCTTATCGAGGAAGAAACCTTCAAGAAGTGAAGGACTTGCCCAGAGACCCGCGGGTATTAACTTGGCAGAGTCAGGATTCAAACCCAGGTCCCTTGTACTCCAAATTCAGCTCCCTTTCCACTGCTTTCCAGTGCACAAATACTCTTGATTGTCTGGCTAGCATTGTCTCTCATCATACATCTGTCATGGCTCCCATTTGCCAGTTTCTAGCTCAGTGTGGTCTTGCTGAAGGATACCCTCTGCCTTTGCATATTGACTGACTATTTCCTGTCATCTGTTGGTTTTTTAGCTGTCTGTATGTTGTAATGACTTGACCCAGAATCACAGACTCTCAGAAACTGTGTGCTGGAAGGGGACTCCAGCCCCATCTAGTCCAGTGAATGAGGCTTCCCCTCTACAACATTGGCCACTGTCTCAGCTGCGTCTTGGCCATTGTCTTCGCAAGTCTGACTGTGCGCTGTCATTGTTTTCCTGTGTCTGATCACTCACGGTGGCTCCAGTCATTATTTGTCTGTTCTCATCTGCCTAATACAACCCCACGAGGTCCCACAGCTCAGAAGCAGCCATGGGGACTTAATACTCTGCTGTTGCTGCTGTTATTATTAACAACAGTAATCATAGCTGGCATTTCTAGAGCGCTTGAAGTCTTACCAAATGTAGGACAAATACTATCTCATTTGATCTTCACAACAACCCTGGGAGGTGGGTGTCATTATAATCCCCATTTTACAGTTGAGGAAACTGAGGTGGACCGAGGTGAAATGACTTGCTCAGGGTCTCACAGCTGATTAAGTGCGTGAGGCTGGATTTGAACTCAGCTCTTCCTGACTCCAGGCCCAGGGCTCTCTCTCCACTGCACTGGGTCCCAGGTTCTTCATCCACAATAAGCTGTTTGTCTGCCCATCTCCGTCTGATGTCCTCTCTCTGCTTTTGTCCTTGTCTCTGTTTCAAGTCTTCCTTCCTCCCTTCCGGTCACTGAGCTCAGCATTGTGGAATTTACAGTGGATCCCTGCCCTCAAGGAACTTCCATGTGCCCCAGTGAGCTCTCTAAAGCAATCATTTTAGACTCTGCCCCTTCCCTGCTCAATAAACTCTGGTGGCTCCCTATTGCCCTGGGGATCAAACATAAAAGTCCTTCGTGACCCTTGTAGCCTTATGTCCTCTCCTGCCTGGGCCAACCCCTCTGACCTTGCTCTACATCACATACGATGTTCCATTTCCCACCTCCATGATTTTGCATTTCCTCCTCACTGCCTCCTCTTATGTCTCCATGTGTGCCTGTTCGCTCCCCCAGTAGCATCAGCCATCAGGCCTTTATTAACAGTTTCCTATGGGCTGAGGGCTGGGTGTACAAAGAAGGTAAAAACTTGATCCCAGCCCTCAAAGAACTTCCATCCTAAGGGGAGAAACAAGTAACTGCCTCAGGGTGTGTATCCCAGCTAGAGGACTGAGGCAGCCACTCCTCCCTTTGGCTTTTTTGGCTTTTGTGTCAATATCCTTGGGATGTCCGATGTCCACAGTCCCCACACAGGGCCAGGCACCCAGGACACAATGGAAGAGCCTTTCCATGCGGAGTGATGAGAGCTAGATTTTCCATAGGCAGAAATGAGATGAGCTCAGTGAGGGAGTTGGGGGGGGGGGGGGGACAAGCACCAAATCTAAGCTATGACCCTTGACAGAGGAAAACAAGTAACTGGCCCTTTGCCATCCAATTTGGTCGTGATCTAAGGAATAAGGAATATTAAAGGGAAGCTTAGATAGATCAAATTGGGCCTTGAAATGCTAAACAGGTGTTTAAGCTTGCTTTATCCTATAGACAATGGGGAGCCATTGAGGGCTTCTGAGCAAGGGAGTGACTTGATCAGAACTGGAAATGGATTCCATTCCCTTCAACAAGTACTAATTTAGAACTCAGTATGTCTAGGGCTGGAGGTATGAAGGTCAAAGGAAAAGTAGCTCCTGGCCTTCAGGAATTGGTCTTCCACTGGAGAGTGCAGTGTTTACACAATGGAGGCGGGCTACAGGGATGAGCCTTGAAGGAAACTCAGGATTCCAAGAAGCAGCTTCCAATGGGTCAGCACAGGTGGGGCTGCCCCTGTAGGCCAGGTGAAAGGTACTCAGGCTTCCACCTAGCAGTGGAAGTAGCTGTAGAAATCAGGAGATAGCTATGGAGATCTTGTGGCCCTGGGGATAGCAGGACTGAGCAGCTGGTCCAAGCCAACAATTCACAGGGCCTCCTCGTTGACTAAAAGGCTAGAGCTCCGAACTCCAGGGATTGGTGAAAGGCCAAAGTTGGGGCAGGCATTGAGGTGCAGTCTATCCTGAGCACAGCTTTGGCTGACCGTCTGTCTACTGTCCCCAGCTGGTGTCAGTCAGAGAGAGGTCAGGGCTAGGCATGGAGATCTGGGAAGCTGCAGTCACACAAAGGAGATCACCGAGCCTGTGGGGGGGCCCATGAGCTCATAGAGGGAGAGAGAGGAGAGAAGGGCAGGGGGGTGGGGGAACCAGCCTTTGATAAAGGGATAGTGAAAGGGCCAGTGAAGACCAAAGACAATAAGAGAATCCTCAGAAGGAGTGTGTGGGGTGGCTCTCTCAAGCTGACAGCACACACACCCTCAAAGTGGATGGACCCAGAGAAGAGGTTAGCACAGGCTCAGCTCAAGGAAGATCAGGGACTGCCTGAAGGAGTATTGGAGGGGGACTGGGGAGACAGGGGAGTGATATGTCTGTAAAAAAGAAAAGTGAATAAACCATCATTACAAAGGAAAACAATTAAAGGCAAGCACCTTGTAACCCTTAAAGTGTTCTGTAAGTGGGAATAAGTACAAGGAAGGAAAAGTGGGCAGTCAACAGCATGGTGCTTCGGGATAAGGCGGGAGGTGGAGACAGCTAAAGGCCTAGACGAAAGAAGAGTTGGGGTGAGGAGCAAGTAGGGAGGGGAGAGAGGCAAGGAGGGAGGGGAGAGAGACAGGGGAGGGGGAGAGCAAGGAGGGAAGGGAGAGAGACAGAGAGGGAGGGGGAGAGAGAAAGACAGGAAGGGAGGGGAGAGAGAGAGACGGGGAGGGAGGGGGCAGAACAAATAAGTCAATGGTAAGGCAGAAACAATGGTAGTGGAAAGCCTTAGCAGGGTCCAAAGAAGGGGCATGATCATATTGGTGTTTAGATAAATAGAGGGAAAGGAGTCAGGAGCAAAGGGAAGATACAATAATCATCGTCATTAGCATTTCCATGGCTCTTTAAAGTCTGCTAACCCTTTATAAGTATCTCATTTCATCCTCACAACAATCCCTGGAGGGAAGTGCTATTATTATCATCCTCATTTTACAGAGGAGGAAACTGAGGCAGACAGTGAAGTGACTTGCCCAGGGCCACACACCTAGTAAGTGCCTTAGGCGGGATTTGAGCTCAGGTCTTCCTGACTCCAGGCTCAGCACTCTATGCACTGTGGCGCCCCCTAGTTGAGAGGAGCAATGACTGGTGGACCAAGGTCCCAGAGGACTGAGGTGGAAGGTTTGGCTCCAGCTGGAAGAGTGAAAGCAGCAGAGGAAAAGAGGGAGGGTGAAAAGGGAGCCAAACCGTGGAAATGAGGAGTTGAGGGATCTCACGCTGGATGGCCCAGATCCATAACAATAAGAGCCCCTGTTTATATAGAACTTCAAAGTTCACAAAACACTTCACACACCCTGACCCTGCCAGACCTGGGTGCTAGGCATCTCCAGATCTTATTAGCCCCCTTTTTACAGATGAGGAAAAAGATTCAGAGAAGGGAGAGGACTTGGCCAGGGGCACATAGCTGATTACCATCGATGTCAGAGGTGGGAGTCAAAGGCATGTCCCTCCTGACTTCCCAAGGCCAGCATTCATGTATCCCAGAAAGGCAGCTGCCTTCAAGCCCTGTCACTGCTCCCTCCTCTGGGCCCCCACTGTTGGAGTTGCCTGGGATTCTTGTTTCCCTCTGGCCAGAGCCTGGCTCTTATGCCTCCCTTGTCCCCAGCATAGGGTCTCCAGGTAAGCATCAGTGCAAATGTTGAATGATGGAATACATTTGGTGGGATAGATTTTTCTCTCCCTCATTTACTAGACTGTACGTTCCCTGAGGACAGGGACTAGGTCCTTCCTTTTCTTGGACTCCCTGTAGTAACCTGCCACACAGCAGGGGCTCGGTTCAGACTGGTTGATTGATTGCCTTCTGCCAGGTATCTGCTCAACAACTCACTCAGCAAGATGCCCACCCCATCGATCTGTGCCGAGATGCCCGAGCTGACCTGGCTGTGAGTGTCTGCCCCATGGGCCTGGGGGTGAGGGCAGTGGCAGCCAAAGGTGTTCTGGGCTTAGAAGGAAGGACCTGCCTTCCCTCCTCTTTCCTACTTTGCTGAGGGATGTGGAGCATCAATGCCTATTGGACTCAGTGTACCTGAGTGGGCTGTATAGACCTGGGAGCCATAGACTGGAGGCTCACCTGCTCCCTGACCTTAACCTCCATCCCAGACCTTCTGACTCTCAGTCACCCTGGATCATCAGACTTAGAACTAGGAGGACCCTTTGAGAACATCAGTGTTACAGAAGGTACTGCAGCCCAGGGGAATGAATTGACTTACCCAAGGTCACACATGTTAGTAAGTGGCAGAGTTGGAATTTCACATCCAGGTCTTCTACCCCCCCCCTCCAATATTCTTGCATGGCTATTCTTACTTTGGGCCCATCAACTGACTGGGGGAAAGAGGCCTCTTTTCTCTGTCCCCACCATCCCCATCACCCATACTCCTCTTTCCTTTCCCTCTCCCTGCTCCTTGCACTCCATTTCTATCATGCCTTTTGCCCCCCTCTCCCTTCCTACTATTCTCCCTCTCCCTACCCCCTTTGCCCCCCTCTGCCTTCCCCCTTTTTCCCCCTTTCCCTCTTTTGCCCCCCTCCCTGCCCCCTTGCCCCCTCTCCCTTCCCCCTTTGTCCTGTCTCCCTTCCCCCTTTGCCCCCCTCTCCTTTCTTTTTAGATGCAGCAGCCCCATGGCCCCACTCCAGAAGCCAGCATTGGGGCTGCATTGTTGCTGGAACACCATGAGCCCACCTCTGCCTCCTCTGGAGCCTGAGGGATTCTTTGGTCTAGATGCAGTGGAAACAACACTCAATTGTTCAAATCCTACCTCAGCTACCTAAGAGCCAAGTGACCTTGAACCTGGACCTATTTGCCATCTGTAAAGGGGTTGTTAGTAATTTGGAGACGAGAGGGAGACAGACAGTGACAGAGAAAAAGATCCTTTCCAGCCCCAGTGCTCTATGGTCTCTTGGGGCCCAGAGGCCCATGAGGTCTTTCTGTCCCTTCCCCACCTTCCCACAGGGACTTGGAGAGAAATAAGCTGCAGAGCCTGGAGGGCTCTGTGTTCCGGGACTGTGGGGCCTTCACCGTGCTGTAAGTACGCCCCTTCATGCTCTCAGACCCCTGCCCAGCATCTGGAGGAGGGGGTCAGTCACCTTCCCCATCCTCTCAATTCTTCCTTTCCCCAGGCATCTCCCCCAATTTGGCATTTTGCTCAGGCCTCAGTCCCAGGGCCAGCAGAGCCTCCTGTTGGAATGCCTCATGAGTATACACGGCCCACAGCACTCCCATCCCACTGGCAGGAACCATGGCCACACAAGACAAGGACATTTTCCTTTTCCAAACCAAATCCTGAGCTGCTCTAAGATGTGCCCTAAGCCTTGATGTTGCCCTGAACCCCTTCCTTCCCTATCCAGCCCCAGCCTAGTGAGGGGATCCGTGCATCCATCCATCCATCCACCCATCTACCCACCCTTCCATCCATGTGCCCTCCCACCCATCCATCCATCTGCTGTGGTGGCAGCAGCTCTTGGCTAGTCCTAGGTACCGTACATGTGTTCTGGGGGCAGGCAGGGTCCAGTGTGGCTGACCCTAAAGCTGAGTTATGGGGCCTGCTGAGAGCACACAGTAAAGTAAGCAGCTTAACATAAACACTAACATACACAGAGAATAAATCTCAGGCAGGATTTGGAGCCCAGCACTGGCCTGGGAGGAAACAGATGGAGGGAGGAATCTCCTACTCTGGGCTCCTGCCAGCTCTTCTCTCCCTCCCCTCCAAAGCCCCTCTAACTGTCAAGGAGAGTCCACAGAGGTAGGAACAAGAGGCCTTGGAGGCCAAGGCCACACAGGTAGGTAGGAAGTGAGAAAGCCAGGATGATCAGAGTCACCATTTGGATTGATGCCTCCCAGGCTGCCCTGCTCCAAATCCTGGCCCTGCTGCTACCTCCGGTAGGTCCCTTCATTTTTCGTGGTCTGTTCTGTAAAGTGAAGGCATGGGATTTGATGCTGAGTTCTATTCTGGTTCCAAATTGAAGGTGCTGTCGATGAGCACCTTAACAAGCTTCCTTTCCTTGAAATTGGAGCTCATCTCGGGGTTTTCTGCTGCTTACCATCCTCTACCCCTGGATCTCTAACCTTTTTTTCCCAGCTCAGGCCACCTGCTTTTTCTCCACAGGTGTTCAGGGCCCCTGGCAGCCAAGCCTCCATCTAGCATCTGGCTTGCCAGAGATCCCAGAGGGCTGGCTCCCACTCCCCATCTCTTCCCAGTCCCCCATGGTGAGGAGAATGAGACCTGCCACTATCCGGGGGGCACCTGGACACGAACACTCCCTGTACCTACACAGGAAGTCCTTTCCATGACCTGGCTAGTGCAGCCCCTAGGGGACCTTGGAGCTCCAGACTTGGCCAAGTGCTTGGGCCTGAAACCTGCCCCTTCCCTGCGTGTCCCTTTGGACCTTTCCTGTAGCCAGCAGAGGCACTGGGCTATACTTAGGACCTAGCCTTTCACTGCACCCCCTACAGTGGTACAGCTCAGAAGAGCATGAATTACCATGCCCACTTCATGGATAAGGCATTTGACTCTGAAAGAGGCAGAGACTCACTCACTTAAGGCAGCACCAGACTTGTCATCCAGTACTCCTCCCTCCCCACCTCCGCATCCTCCCAGCTGTGAGGTGGGATCCTGTTCAGGCACCTGGATACCCAAAAGGACTTCACCAAAGCGGATATCTAGATCACATCTCCTCTGTTCCTTCTCACCCCAGGCTCTTCCCAGAAGTCCTGCCTAGGGGCTCTGCCTCCCTCTTGGCCTCGTGCCATGTGGCTGCCTCCCCTAGGCTCTCTGCAGCTTCTTCCCCCCAGCGTTTTCCTGCTGTATTCGTGTCATGTCTGTGTCTCCTTGGAACATGAGCTTCGTGTTTGTTCCCTTTTCTGTATCCCCAGCCCTTACTTAATGCAGCTCCTGGCATACAGTGAGTGCTTAGGAAATACTTTATGACCAACTGACTGACTAGTCTGGGGTGGGCACCATGGAAGATGGAAAGGGAAGAAAGGGACTTGGGGACTGAGAGAGAGGGAGAAATCTGGGCCAGGAACTGGACGGAGGTGAGTCAGCATGGGCTCTAATGGCACACAGTGAGAGGCCTTCTGGCCCCAAGGCTGCTAACTCACCAAGCCTGGACTGGGGCCCCCACTGAGCTCTGTCTTCTTGCCTCCTTCCAGAATTCTTCGGGGGAACTTGATCAAAACAATTGAGGAAGGGACCTTTGCCGAGCTTCCTCGCCTGGTGGAGCTGTGAGTGTCAATCATCCCTGAGACGGGGCTATGTTGTCAGGGGTTGGGGATGGGGGGGTGGGCTGAGGAGGCAGAGACTCCTCAGGAGCTGACTGGAGATGTCTCCTTATGTCCCATTGTAGGACAAAGAATCAAAGAATGTCAGAGTTGGAAGAAATCTTCTTAGGATAGAGAATGTCAGGGCTGGGAGTGCCTTTAGAACAGAGAATGGAGGAGTCCCGGGGTCCTCAGAACAGGCAATGTCAGAGCTGGAGGGCACTGTCCCTCTATCGACCACCCCCAGCCCCACATTTTGAATCTGGAACTGCTTTATCTCCCTGCAGAGACCTGTCCAACAACCTCCTGACAGAGATGCCTCCGTCGCTGTACCAGGGCCTCCAAGACCTGCAGATGCTGTGAGTTTGGCCTGCTTTGGTTATCTAAGGGCATCCACAGCGTTGTTATGACCGGAACCCAGAGCTTGACCCTCCTTCTTATCTGAGTGCATTGGAATTGGTCCAAGGTCACAGCCCTTGTGGTTTGAGGGGTGAAGGATGAGAGGCTTGGGGGAGGGGGAAGACAGCCCTGGGGCATCCAGACTCTGGACTATTCCCTCAACAAAACAGAAGGCAGTGGTTTCCCTTCAGCCCCACTGAGTGCTTCCTTACCCTGACACCATAAAGCCTCTGGTAATAGAAGTGACATTGCTGGTGATGAGACCAAGCAGGGTGTTATGATGAGGAAACTGAGGCTTAGAAGCCAAAAGAGCTGCTCATCACCCCGGGGTGATGCCCGGGTTGGGCCATGCCACCCCAGCCCCTCCAGGCCTCTCTGCTTTCTACTCACAGGAACATCTCTGCCAATCCTCTGAAGCAGATCCCTGTGGACCACTTTGACAGCCTCCCCCAGCTGCACTCACTGTAAGTGGAGGAGCTTCTTGGCCTAGGTTATGGGCAAGAAGGAAATACTAAAGGCCTGGGATTTGGAGACGCAGTCCAACCCTGGGGTTTTATAGATGAAGAAACTGAGGCCCAAGGCTGCTAAGTGACTTGCCTAGGTCACATAGAGTCAGTTTCCCACGACTCCAGTTCCCAGATTCTTTCCTCTCAAGGGGCAGCACTGGAGCAGAGTGGGTAGGACTCAGTGGCAATGTTCTCCACCTCTTCCTTTCCCTCTTCTCACTTCAGGAGCATGGAGGGCATGGAGATCCCCAACATTCAGAACCGAATGTTCCAGAAACTGGCCAACCTGTCCCACATGTGAGAGCCTGGGGGGGCGGGGGGACTGGCTGAGGACTATGGGATGACCCCTTTACTGAACCTCATTCTCTGTGGTCAGGAGGGTGGGGGGAGTGCTGAGGTGAGAGAGTGGGGACAGAGCTTTCTGTGGAGTGTGAATCTCCCTCCACTGGAAGAGGGGCTCCTGGGTCTTCCCAGTTAGGGAGGTCAGTTTTGGGGTGCACATGAGGGCAACACTTGGTCATCTGAGAAGGACAGAGGGCTTGTGCTTGGCACTGAGTAGGCCCTACGGTTTAGGAAAAGGACACAGACAAGTTGGTCAGACCATCCGGAGAAGGGGGAAGGGGCCCCAGTCCTTGCTTCATAATAACAAATCATAACGGCTAGCATTTCTATGGTGTGGACTGCACACCAGACACCGTGCTAGGCACCTTACAGATATCCTCCCATTTCATCTTCGCAACAAGCCTGAGAGGTAGGTTACATTCTGGTCCCCATTTTACAGTTCAGGAAACTGAGGCAGCCAGAAGTTCACTAACTTACCTAGGGTCACACAGCCCAGAAGTGTCTGAGGCTACATTTGAACTCAGGTCTCCTTGACTTCAGGCCAGGGCTCTGTGCGCTGTGACACCCCCTAGCTGTGTCTGAGAATTGACTGAAGGAACTGAGGTATGCTTAGCCTAGCTTAGAGACGCAGAATGGATGTTTTGGGATATTTGACGGGTTGTCTTGTGGAAGAGCTACTAGAAGCCGAGGTTGCAGAGAAGGAAGGGCCAGGAAGGCAGATCTAGGCTCTTTTAGAAGCTAGTGGGTTCGCTCTCATTGTGAGTCCACAGTCAGTCCACAAGCATTTACTAGGCACTGTGTGTGCTAAGTGCTGAAGATATGACAAAAGCCAGAAACAGTCCCTGCCCTCAAGGAGCTTACAGTCCAATGGGGAGCCAACACGCAGACAAATATGTATAAACAAGCTTTATACTGGGTAAATTGTGGTACAGTCAAATACAGTAGAAGAAAGGCACCAGCATTAAGGGAGATCCAGTCAGGGACTAGGCTTCCTGGAGAAGGTGGGATCTTAGCTGAGGCTTGTCAGGAGACAGGAGGGAGAGCATTCCAGGCATGGGGACAGCTGGAGAGAATGCCCAGAGCCAAGAAGAGAAGGACAGCGGGGAGGCCGGGGTCATTGGATAGAAGGGGACGTGGTGAGAAGATTAGAAAGGGTGGAGGGGGTGGGGCATGAAGGGCATTGAATGTCAAGGAGAGCATCTTGTATTTGTTCCTGGAGGCCCTAGGGAGCCCCTGGAGTCTACTGAGTAAGGGAGTGACCTGGTCATATTAATACTTTGACAGCTGAGTGGGGAATGGAGTTGAGTAAGGAGCCACTTGAGGCAGGAGCTACTGTGATAATCTAGGTCTGAGGTGATGAGGAGAGATGTTACAAAGGTGATATGGATGGGATTTGGCACCAGCTTGGACACGAGAGGGTTAGAGAGAGTGAGGTATCAAGGATGACATCTAGACTAGGAGCCTGGGGGACCAGGGAGCATGGTGGGAAGAGGGGAGAGTCTGGCCAAGAAAGACGACCTCTCGTGTTGCTAATGTTTCTTGTTTCTCATAAATATATTGAGTTTAAGATGCCTACCAGACATCCAATTTGATATATCTCATAGGCAGTTGGAGATGTGAAACTGGAGGTCGGGAGTGAGGTTAGGGCTCCCTCAATAGTTCTGAGAATCATCAGCATAGAGCTAAAAATGAAATCAATGGGAACTGATGAGATCATCAAGTGAGATAGTATGGAGGGAAAGGAGAAGAGGGCCCAGGACAGAGCCCTGGGGGTCCCCCACAGTTGGCCAGTGCAACCTCAGTGAAGATCCAGCAATGGAAGATGAGACCCAGGAGAGGGAAGAGAGCATCCAGCAGAAAGGGGTTATCGGCCGTGTCTGAGGCCACAGAAGGGTTGAGGAGGATGAGAACTGAGGAAAGGCCACTGGATTTGTACTATCACCTTTGGAGAGAGCAGTGACAGGTGAATGATGAAGTTGGAAGCAAGACTGCAGAGCGTAAGGAAAAGAGGGGGGGCAGCTAGGTGGCACAGTGGATAGAGCACTGGCCCTGGAGTCAGGAGGACCTGAGTTCAAATCCGGCTCCAGACACATGACACTCACTAGCTGTGTGACTCTGGTCAAGTCACTTAACCCCGATTGCCACACATTAAAAAAAGAGAGAGAGAGACGTGCGGTGGGGAGAGAGAGAAGAAGTGGAGGAGCCTTCTCCACTTTGGCCATCCAGGGAAAGACAGCCACCTATCAATAGCTACAGGAGAGCTGGAACAACTGAGAGAGGGTGAGGGAGCCATGAGCATGTTTGTGGGCGGCAGACAGGAAGAAATTGAAGATTAGAGAGAGAAAGGGCACCATAGTTTCCTGGAGGAGAACTGGATGGAGAGAGAGGCGGTGGTGGTCCTGGTCCCACCCCTAGTCCTTCATTTTCAGAGGATAGAGGAGAGTATGCATGCTGAGGTTGGCTAGCCACCTGGTGGATTGAGTGCCGAGCTCAGATTGCTGAGGAGTGAGAAGAGAGGAAGCAGAGGCAGCTATTGGAGGCATTTGGATGAGAAGGGGGGGGGCGGGGATAGAATCCAAAAGCTTGAGGGGACAGCGAGCTCTGGGAACCGTCCTTCTGTCCTCACGTGTTCAAAGGCTCCAGGAGGTTGAAACTTGGAGGGGAAGCTATGGGGGAGGAGGGTTAGGGAAGCCTTGGCCAGCCTGCCTTGGCTTTTTGTAACCCCCTTCTTTCCCTCTGGCCCCGCCCCCGCAGTTACTTCGACCACTTTCAGTACTGCAGCTACGCCCCCCACGTGCGCAGCTGTCAGCCCAACACTGACGGCATCTCCTCCTTGGAGAACCTGCTGGCCAACCTGCTGCTGCGTGTCTTCGTCTGGGTCATCGCCTGCACCACCTGCCTGGGCAACCTCTTCGTGGTGTGCATGCGCTCCCTCATCGTGCCCGAGAACTTCCAGCACGCCATGGCCATCAAGTGTCTGTGCTGTGAGCCATCCCAAAGGGGCTGGGCCAGGGAGGAGGTGGCACTTCTGTGGCACTGCCAGGGGAGCTGGGCACCTCTCGCTGGGTTTAGGGTTAGCGCTGTTTTACCTTTCCTCCCAATAACCCCCCGAAAGGATGCTGATACAGGGGAGGAACGGAACAGGCATTTATTAAGGACCCACTGTGTGCCTACAAACAGGATCCCATCTGATCCTCACGGCAACCCTGGGAGGAAGGTGATGTTATTACCCTTATTTTACAGTTGAGGAAACAGACAGACAGATGTGAAGGGAGTCGTCCAAGGTCGCACATCTCTTAAGTATGTGACTGCAAGACTTCCTGACTGCAGACCCTGTGCTCTAGGCACCTAGCAACAAGGATTATGAGGAGGGAGTGAAGGGCAAAGAGAGCCTCTTGCACACTGAGCCCTTTACTGGATGCCCTCAGGGAACTTAGGTTCTAGGTGGGCAAGATGGCCCAGACACAGACAGCAGCTCCAATTTAAGGACCTTGGAGAGGCACGGAGGGAGAAGGCAATCGCTAGCTCTGGAAATGGAGGAGACACACAGGGAGGCCAGGAAGGAGTCCCATGGCTTGGCCTCAGTTCTCTCCTCTGGCTGTGAAATGGAGGGGAACGCAGGACACGTTCAGCTAGATGCTTGGGCTCTGAAATTCCAGGAATTGCCCCTCTGCCCCGCCGGCGTCTAGATACCCAAGCTCTCTCACACACGTGTATACACGCGTGTATGCCCATAGCCAGCCCAGATGCATGCACGCGTGCGCATGGGCAGATTCACGCCGGCTCGCACAGACTCAGGGCCACACACGCGTGCCATCTCCATTGGGCTGGGTCTCACATCTATCTTTGCTCCACTCTAGGTGCCGACTTCCTCATGGGCATTTACCTGTTCTTTATCGGCGCCTCTGACCTGCGCTACGCTGGCGAATACAACAAACACGCCCAGGCTTGGATGGCCAGCTCCCAGTGCCAGGCCGTGGGCTGCCTGGCCATGCTGTCATCCGAGGTCTCTGTGCTGTTACTCACCTACATGACGCTAGAGAAATACATAGGCATCGTCTTTCCTTTTAGCCGCTACCGAGCCGGCCGCAGGCAGACCCTCGCCACTCTGGTGGCCATTTGGTTAGTGGGCTTCACCATCGCTGTGGTGCCCTTCTGGAGCCGAGGCCCCTTCGGCAATTACTACGGCAGCAATGGCGTCTGCTTCCCTCTCCATTTTGACACTACTGAGAGCGCCATGGCCCAGCACTACTCCACTGCCATCTTTCTAGGTGAGGGGGCCTGCACAGGGAGTTCTTGTTGGGGGGGGGGAGTAGCAGCCATTGAGACCACGGGCTGGACCTTGTTGGTTACCTGGAGGGATGAATAGATGAATAGAAGATCTCAGACATCTGGAATTCTGCTAAGGCACTAGGTGCCCCCTCAAAGCTCCTCAGAGTTTAGGTCCCTCCTTGGCAGTGTCTCCAACCCTTACGATCCCAGACCCAGAGCTGGAAGGGTCCTCACAAGGGCCTCCCAGGGGATCAAGGCCACCCCCCACATTGACATCTTCTAGACTAGGAGCTCTTCACTGGTTTGGTAGCATGGTGCCCTTTGGCTGTCTGGTGGGAAAGAAGCTGATGGATGCCTTCTCAGAATCCAAGTTGGTGCCTACTTTGAAGGCAATGCTAGAATTCAATTGGAAAGTCATGAAATAAAGATGTCATTTTTTTTCTCTCATCTAAATTCACAGACCCCCTGAAATCCACCCACAGACTCCTTGGGGGTCTATGGAGCCTAGGTCAAAAGCCCCTTCTCTAGAAGGAGAGCCAGTCAATCAATCAATACGTTTATTAAGGGCCTGCTACATGCCCTAAGCATGGAGCCAGGCTCCAGCTCTCCAAAGATGAGCACTGTGTAAATATCAGCGATTACCCATCAGTCTTCCAGCAAGCGTCTATTGGGTGCTAGGGAGACAAAGATGAAGAATGGGAGAACCTTTACTCTCAAGAATCTTCTGTTCTGACATGGGAGGCAACAGGCATAACATACACATGTACACACATAGGTATGTATATGCACACATGCATACATGTGTACTGTGCACGCACGCGCCAGCATACGTGTGCTGTACACATGGACACAAGCTGGACCTAGGCGTGTATCTGCATGCATGCATGCATAAATACACACATATGTACTGTGTACAATATACCTACCCAGACATGTGTGCATATATGCATACACACCTGTACCGTGTGTTACACATATGCACACACACACGCATACACAGAATAAATACAGAGTAGTTGAGTGCTGCCCCTCCTGGATCACTGCCTTGTTGTGGCAGAAGGGGCTTGTATAGCTCAATGAAACTAGGAGCTATGCCATGCAGGGCTACCCAGGATGAACAGGTCATAGTAGAGAGCTCTAATAAAAGGTGACCCACTGGAAAAGGAAACGGCAAACCATTATGGGATCTTTGCCAAGAAAACTCCACAGATAGCATGGTCCACGGGGTCACAAAGAGTCAGACACCACTGAACACGCTCTGTCTGGAAGGAAGGTAGAAGGAAGGAGGGGCGAGCGCATCCCATCCATGGACACTGTTCTGTCCCACTGCAGGGGTCAACCTGATTGCCTTCATCACCATGGTCGCAGCCTACAGTAGCATGTTCCACTCGGTCCGTGTCTGCCGTGCCCGCTCAGCAGAGCCCGGCACCTTTTCTCGGGAGGTCTCTATTGCCAAGCGCTTCTTCTTCATTGTCTTTACCGATGCCCTCTGCTGGCTTCCCATCTTCCTCCTAAAGCTGCTGTCGCTGCTGCAGCTGGAAATCCCAGGTATGCAGAGCAAGGGGGATCCTCCCTGAAGTATCCTTTCCCCTCACCCTTGCTCTGTCTCTCTGTCTCTGTCTCCTGCAGCCTGATCTCTTGCCAGGGTCAGAGGTTGGGGAGAGTGAGTGTTACTAGGGGATGGGGAGGAAATCTGGGGTCTCCGGCAAGGGCTGACAATATGAAGCATGGGCATAAGGGGGAGGGGGGAGGGAGAGAGAGAAAGGGACAGGTCGAAAACTTGGACTTAGAAGGCATGACGGTGGTCACCCAGCCTTCTGAGGCCAAGCTGGGCTTTGAACCTAGGCCCTCAGCCTCCAAATGTAAGCCTGTATTCGGGGAGTGGAGGGGCCTGGCTGGTCAGGCTGGGGGCCAGGCCCTGCTTTTCCAATAGATCCCAAGCTCCTTGGCTAACATCTGCTTCCCTCCTCAGGCACAATTACCTCCTGGGTGGTCATCTTCATTCTGCCCATCAACAGCGCCCTTAACCCCGTCCTCTATACCATCACCACGTCACCCTTCCAGGAGAGACTGAAGCAGTGTCTTCGGCGAGAGAATCATTCTCTCCCCTCCTCCCAATCCACAGGCCCAAGCTTCACCCTGGTGCCGCTCCAAGCCACTAGAGACCTGTTGGGCCCAGTGGCCCAGCACACAGGGAGGACTGCGTTTGGGCCTCAGGACTGAAAGAGGGTGACATATGGGGGGAGGGGGGAGAGAGTGTCTGTGTGTGTGCTATGTGTGTGCGTGTGCATGTATGTGTGTGCATGTAAGCACACATGTGCCTGTGTGTGTGTGTGTGTATGTAGAGGGGAGAGGGAATCAGGGACCCAGATCAGAGATGGCATTGGCCCTGAGCATGGCCCCCAAACTGGGACCCGAGTGCTCTGGGACTGAATGGAAGAACCATGATGGGGAAAGTGCCCCCTCTCCTTGCCATGGCGGGTCCTCATCTCAGCAGAATGGCCTCGTGTCCACTGGACAGCCCAAGGACGAGGGGCACAAGGGAGGGAGAAGGAGAGGTCAGGCATTGGCACCCCTGGGTTCTGTCTCATCTCAAAGTCACACATACTCACTTGGAAGATGGGAACGAAGACCCAGACCTGCCCCAACCCAAACACACACCCAAACACACACACACACACACACACACACACACACACACACACACACACATGCACACATGCACACACAGCTGTCTGGAACCACTAAGGTCGTGTTTGTTTGGGGTGTTTTGGGACCCTCAGATTAGAGGTCAGAGAAGAGCCCAGAAATCTTTTTAGCCCCTGGTCCCACTGTCATCAGACCCTACTCCAAAGACTCTGTTAGGGGATGGGAGAACAAGGAAGCGCTCCAGGCCTTCCCCCCTGACCTCAGACCAGGCTGGTACACTCCTACTCCCACATCCCAGGACTTTCTCCCAATAGATCCTCCCCACAAACCACCCCCTGACAATAGGCCACCCATCTCCCTGTTTATCTTCCCCTCACCAGCCTCATTCCCCCAATCTTACCCACTGTCCCACCCCATGCCATCCTGGCCTCAGTCCTCCCTTGTTCTCTTACCAAAAATGGGGCAGCCACATGGTAATGTTGGGTGTCTAGCTATATCTATAGCTATATAGATATGATTTTTCAGTGGTGGGGTCACAGATGCCCTTTTCACCCTTCCCCCCCCCATCTGCCCAGTTTCCCACAATCCCATCCTCAGCTCCCTGGGCTGAGGCCCCTTGCAGATATCATAGAGAGGAACAGTTACAGGGAGGCTCTACTCCTGACTAGATATGTGACCTTGTCATTTCCTTCTCTGAGCCTCAATTTCCCAAGCCACAGCCTGAGGGGGTTGGGCTTGCCTGAGGATGCTTCATTTCCTTCTGGCTCTGGTATTCAGAGAGGTTTGGTTGAAAAAGAATGAAACTCTGGCCACATATGGTTATGATCAGGTGGCCACTGGGGGTGCAGTCAAGGCCCCTCTGGATCAATAGAAGAGACTGGAGGGAGGGTTTTAATCAAGCTAAAAACCTTGCCCTGGCCCCATCATCCAAGGAGATCCTTAGGCCAAGATGGCCTGCCTGTGGCAGCAAGTGGGCTTGAGGACACACACCTGAGCCTCTAGGTGTGAGCAGGGACAGTTCTCCCTTGCCTGGGGCACACTGAGCATTATTAGCACCCCCTGTCCCTGCATATCACTCAGGATGGTGGAATGGAGCCTCTGACTGTGGGGGTTAGGGCCCTGGGGACTCCTTTTGAGCACATGCTGAACACATCTGTCCTCAGATTTCCTGGTAGCCTTGGAGGCAGGCTTTCTGCCTAGGTTTAAATGTTGATTACCACCTGTGTGACTTCAAGCAAGTCCCACCCCTGCCTTGGGCTCAGTGAAAAAGGCGGTGGTCCTGTGGGACCAACCCTTTCTTGCCATGTTGCAGGGAGGGAAAAGAGGGGGCAGAGAGAGTCCCTGCTCTTTCCCAGATGGGTTCTTCCCTTGGCTGCCCTGATATCTAGCTACCAGGGGATATTCTGAGCTCTCCTTTGAGGGGAGGATGGATGGATTCCTGCCAGCCAGGACCCCTCCCTCCATTTATAACATCATGGAGCATAAGGGAGATGAAGATGAAGAGGAAAGAGAGGCCAGAACAAGGAGAAAGAATCCACCAGGCCCAGCCCCAGCCTGGGCATGGGCGTCCTACCTCTGATCTAGTGCAGCAAGGATGGGAAAGGCAGAGGCAGGAGGCAGGACCATGCTAGTGGCCAGCCGGAAGGCTACCCTTATCTTCCTGGAATGAACTGGGATTTCCACCCATTATAAGTTTTCCTGCCCTCAGCTTCTGAAATGGGGCCAGGGCAGGACCAGGACCTGGCTGGTTCAGGGTCCTTTGCCACACCTTCAGCAGGTGGTGTAGAGGATGGACCCACTGTAGGCCAGACACTGTGTTAAATGCTCTCCAGGATCTCCCAGTTTAGTGCCCTAGAAGTGGGGTACTCAGTGTGGGCCTTCTGAACAGTGTGGTGCAGGGGGAGGGCCTGGCTTCCCATCCCCCCTCACACATGACTGCGTGACTCCGAGGAGGCTATGCCATCTCCCTGGGTAAAATCAGGGGGTTGGCCTTGACAGCCCCTGGAGGCCCTTTCAGCTTCAGCTTGGTGTATGAGCCTGGGGCCCTATCCACCTGGATGTTCCGGTTCATGTCTTCTTGGCCATCAATGACTTCCTGCCATCAGGGGTCCAGATGTGCCTCTCTTGATTCACCCACACCCTGCAAGTGGCCCCTGAGAAAAAGCCAACAGAGACCAGTGCAGAATGGAAAGAAGTCATTCCCCAGTGCCCAGAGGGGCACCCAGGAACAGGGAGAGGCCCCTGGCATCTTGGCACATTTGGGACAGCTGCAGCTGGTCTCCAATATGGGAGGGGTTCTCCAAGGTCTGCCTAGCAGCCAAGGCTCAGGGGCCCCCAGTCAGAAGGCCTCATCCAGTATGGGAGCTCCCAAAAAGGTGGGAGTGGATGGGGGTCCCCTTCCTCCCAACAGGGGGACCCAACTGGGACTTTCCTTTGCTACATGCTACATTACCATCTCCCTGGCCCCAGCACTGTCCATCATTCCAAATCTACTGCCTGCCGACTTGGTACTTAAAACTATTCTGAGGCCCTTTTGGGCAAAATTGATGCAGCCTCACCCTAACCAGTCTCTTCTCCCATGATTTCTTATTGTCTGGGACACTTATCATGTGCCCTCCAGACCCCAGGCAAGTTCCCTCTTCCCCAGGAAACATGCCTCGGCCACCCAGGACCCTGGTGACCACTAGCTCTCCCTCTACATTCAGTTCATCTTCCCTGACCAGCTGGCCAAGAACTGCAGAGTCCAGGGAGAAAAGCCCAGCCCTCCCCTCGCTGCTCTCAGGACACTCTGAAAGGACTGCTCATCCCTGAGCATTTCTTCTCCTTCTCCTACCCCCATCCTGGCTCTGTTGGCCCAAGGCCTTCGGTCAAAGCCCCCGGGGAGGAGAGACGTGCTTTTAGCCCAGAGCATGCTGTCCCCTCCAGACTGAAATCTAGGCTGGGTCTTGGCAGCCAATACTGAGGAGGCAAAACGCAAGGCAGGATTTTGGAGAGGCGGGGTAGGAGGAGAATAGAGGAGAAAGGTGGGGCACTCAGGGTCTCCAGGTAAGCGTGTCCTCAAGGGTGGGAGCAGGAGGCTTCGAGGCCAGGGGGCCAAAGAGGGGCCAGCCCAGCTGGCATTCTGCTCAGACCCTACTGGGAGGTGGCTTGGGATTTTGTACTGTGGGGGTGAGGGACCAGAACTCTGTATTCGGATGGCACTGTGTATTGTGAGTTTGGGCTTCCAAAAAAGGCAGGTCCCTGCTGCAAAATCTGTTCACCAATGGGGAGAGGACAGATGCCTGAATCCAGGGAGAGAGAGCCCCACCTTCTGGTGAAAATCAGAGAACATCAGTGCTAGACATGGGATATGGGAATTCAGTCAGTCAGTCACCAAGGCCAGATGCAGCGCCCCCTCTGTGCCAGGCACCGTGCTAAGGGCTAAGGATACAAAGAAAGGCAAAAGCAAGGAGCTCCTGGGGGAGAGGGGAGACGGAAGGGATGAGCTGCCAATCCATAGCTCTATACAAGCCACACACAGAGCGTATGGAGGAGCATTCTCAGAGGGGAAGGCGCCAAGAACTGGACCAGGAGCAGAGAGCCTCCAAAGAAGCCAGTGACTGGCTCTGATCGGAGCAAGTGAGGAAGCAGGGCATTCCTGGCATGGGGCAAAGGCATGGAGGTGGGAGATAAGAGCATGGGGGGGGAGGGCAGAGAATGAGCAAGTAGACCAGGCTGGCTGAATCACACACGCCTTTTAGTTTGCTTTTGTCTTCACATCCCCTCCCTTCATTTCCCCTCTCTCATCCCTTAGAACAAAGAATAATAAAGAAAGAGGGAGAAAAGCACAGTTCAGTGCCACTAACCACTACCCAGAATCCAACAGTACAGGCAGTGCTCCATACCCATAGTCCTCCATAGGTGCTTTCTCATGTTTCTTCTTTGGTGCCCAGCTTGCTCATTGTGACCACGTGGTGTTTTTGGTCATTCCACTGACATTGTTGTCATGTGCTCTAGCTTCTGTGCCACTCACTTTGCCTCATGTTACAGAAGTTTCCTCCTCATATTCCGTGTAGCCATTCCCCAAGTGACGGGCATGTTCTTTGTTTCTAGGCTTTTGTGCTGAATCTTTTGGTGTATAAGGGACCTTTCTTTTTCATCATGGACCTTCTTGGGGTATACGTCTAGTCACTAATAGTCACTTTCATAAAGTAATTCCAGATTGCTTTGCAGAGTGGCTGGACAAGTCCAGTTCCACCAACTACGAAGCAACATCCCTCTCTTTCTACAGCCCTTCCAACATTGACTATTCCCATCTGTTCTCATCTTTGCTCATTTGTTGGGGGGGGGGCGGGGGTACAACTTCTGAGTTGTTTTGATTTGTATTTCTCTTTGTTAATATTTCAAAACAATCTTTCATGTGGCAATTAGCAGTTTACAATTGTTTCGAGAGCTATTTGTTCATGCCCATCAGGGAATGGCTTTTGATCTTATGTATTTGTGTTATTTGTTCCACGTGTAAATTAGATTTCAGATCCTTAGTGGAGATTTTCGATGTTTTTTTTTTCTAATTGACCACTTTCCTTCTTATCCTAGTTGCATGGATTTTGTTTGTGCATAAGCATTTCTGTAATTCTGTAATCAAAATTCTGTTTTATCTTTTGTGATCAGCTCTATTGCTTATTTGAATAAACATTTTCCCCACTTGTTGTAACTGTGAAAAGTACCTAACATGTGTTTCTTGTGATTTTGTTATGAAGTGTCTTGTTTTCTTTTTTAATATTCAGGCCACACATCAATTTTGACCCTAATTCCCCAGTGATGTATGGTGTGAGATTTAGTTCAAAGGCAGACTTCTGCCAGATCTCTTTCTAGTTTTCCTAGAAGGTCTTGTCAAATAGGGAAGTCTTTTCAAAGTAGTTATGCTCTTGAGTTTCTTAAACACTAAACTGATGAGTTCACCCATTTCTAATCTAGCCTTATCTAGTCTGTTCTGCTTGTCAACTTATCTAGGTTTTGAAGCAGTGTGGAATGCTTTGGATGATTTCTATTCCATTTTACTATTTGAGGTCTGGAAGTGCTATTACCATTTCACTCCTACTTTTTTTACCCCATCATTTCCCTTGAAATTGAAAACTTTTTGTTCCTCCAAAGGAGTCTTATTATTTGTCTAGTCATGTAAAGTATCCCTTTGTTAGAATATAGCATTAGATCTATAAATTAATGTAGGTAGTAGCACACATTTTTATTATTTTGATACAGCCCAGCCAGGAGTACAAGGTATTTAAGTCATTTGTTCTATCTTTTAATAATGTTTTTGTAACATCTATACAGGTCTTCAACATGGCTTCGAAGATTTCTCCCCAAATACGTGATGTACTTTGTAATGATTTTCGACGGGACTTCTCTTTCCATTATTTCATCTTGGGTTTGGTTATACAGAAATGCTTTACTGTTTTGGATGATTATCTGGGGTTTTCTGCGTAAACCATCACATTGTCAGCAAACAGGAATAGTTGCGTCTCCTCTTTGCATATCTTTATGCCTTTCTTTTTCTTCCTTTATCGTTCTCAATAACATTTCTAGAACTATGTCATAAAACATCGGAGAAAGGGGGTATCCTTGCTTTACTCTTATATTTATTGGAACAGTTTCCATTGTTTCCACATTATGCATAATGCTCACCTTTAGTTTGGGATACATGTTTTAATCACGTTGGGTTTTTTGAAGGGTTCTTCTATATCTCTGTTTTGCGTTATCGTTTTTTAAAGCATAAATGCAAATAGGTTGTCAAAGATTTTTCTTTATCTGATGATAAGACCATGTGGCTTGAGGTGTAATTTTTTTTAAATATCATTAATTCTATTCATTGTTTTCTTAATGTTGGTCCATCACTGCATCTCTGGTATAAATCCAACCGGATCACAGAGACTAATTTTGAGGGAGCCATTCCTTTAGGATTTCTGCCTAGATTTTATTTTGAGTTTTTGGATTAATATTCAATAATAGCATTGGTCTATAGCTCCTTTTCTTTGCTTTGTCCTTCCCTGGTTTAGGTATTAGGACTGTGTTTGTCTCTTTTTATAAAAGGAGTTTGACAAAGTGCTTTCTTTCTCAGTTTTTGAGAATATGGGTAGTACAAATGTTAATCGCGCTTTACACGTCTGATGACTTTTTCTGAAGCTGGATTGTTTAAGATCCCTATTTCATTTCTGTTTATGTGGGTACTTTTGGTTTTGCAGACATTCTTCTATTTCTTCTCATTTCCAGTTTTTCTGGCATATATTTGTTCGTAGCAGAATCTGATTATTAATTTTGTTTTTTCTGTCTATTGCGATTTCAACTTATTCATTTTGTTTTCTAATTTTGCAGATTTGATTTTCCTTCCTCTTTTTAACCTGTTTATCTAAGAGCTTACTGATATGTTTGTTTGTTTTTCCCAAAGAATCAGCTTAGAGTTTTGTTCTATAGCAGGGGTGGGGAACCTGCAGGCTTGGGGCCACATGTGGCCCTCTAGGTCCTCAAGTGGGGCCCTTTGACTGAATCCAAACTTCACAGAAGAAATCTCTTAATAAAAGGATTTGTTCTGTAAAGTTTACATTCAGTCAAAGACTAAGTCCTTTTGTTTTCTAATTTATCACTTCCTCTTACCATTTTCAAAATTTCCTCTTTTGTGCTTATTTTGTATTTGTCGATTTCCTCATTTTTACATTGAGTATTTAATTCATGAATCCACTTTTTCTATTTCGTTAATGAATGTTTTCAGAGATGATTTTTCCATTGAGGACTCCTTTAGCTGAATCTCAGAAATTTTTTTTTTTATTTTTGTTTATCTTTCTCTTAGCTTTGTCTAGCTCGGACAGAAACAATTCAAATACTCTTATGTTACTGTCTCCCTTTTTGTAATTCAGAATTCTTCTATTATAAATGTAGATGCTATGCCTGTTGGTACATTATCAGCTCAATATTGATATTGGTTCATTGTCTTTGATTTTTTTAAACATAATATCCTTTCTCTGTTCAATTTCTTTATATTTTTATTTTTCCTTGCTTTGTTTAAGAGCATGATTCTAACTCCTACTTTTGTGGATTCATCTGAGTCATAGTAAATGTTGTTTTCAGTCCCTCATTCCTATACTCCCTATGTCTCTACTTTCTAGATATGTCTGTTGACTGTTTTCTTCTCCATTCTGTCATTCTCTTTCATTTTGGGGGGGTTGCTCAGCCCATTCACATTTAAAGTCGTGCTGGTAAAATGGATAATTTTGATTACATTAAATTGAAAAGTTTTTGCACAAAGGCAATGCAACCAAGATTAGGAGGGAAGCAGAAAAACAAGAAAGAATTTTTACAGCCAGTGTCTCTGATAAAGGCCTCATTTCTAAAATATATAGAGAAATAAGTCAAATTTATAAGAATACAAGTCATTCCCCAATTGACAAATGGTCAAAGGATATGAACAGTCAGTTTTCAGTTGAAGAAATTAAAGCCATCTCTAGTCATATGAAAAAAATGCTCTAAATCACTATCGACTAGAGAAATGCAAATCAAAATGGCTCTGAGATATCACATCACACCTATCAGATTGGTGACGTTACAAAATAGGACAATGATAAATGTTGGAGACGTGGGAAAATTGGAATGCTAATGCATTGTTGGTGGAGTTGTGAACTGATCCAACCATTTTGGAGAGCAATCTGGAACTATGCCCAAAGGGCTATAAAACTGTGCATGCCCTTTGACCAGCAATACCACTACTAGGTCTGTATTCCAAAGAGATCATAAAAGTGGGAAAAGGACCCACATGTACAAAAAATATTCATAGCAGCTCTTTTTGTGGTGGCAAAGAATTGGAAATTGAGAGGATGCCCATCCATTGGGGAATGGCTGAACAAGCTGTGGTACATGAATGTAATGGAATACTATTGTGCTATAAGAAATGATGAACAGGCTGACTTCAGAAAAACCTGGAAAGACTTGTATAAGATGACTAACATTGATAGACTTAGCCCTTCTCAGCAATGCAAGGATCTAAGACATCTCCAAGGGGCTCATGATGGAAAATGCTATCCACATCCAGAGAAAGAACTATGGAGTCTGAACGCAGATCGAAGCAGACTCTTTGCTCTCCTTTTCCTTTGTTTTTTGTTTTATTGCTTCATTCTCGTGGTTCCTCTCCTTAGTTCTAGTTGTTCTTTACATCATGACTAATGTGAAAATATGCTTAATATGAATATGTAAGTAGAGCCTATATCAGATCGCATGCTGTCTTGGGGAGGGCAGAGGAGAGGGAAGGGGAGAAAATTTGGAGCTCGAAATCTTATGGAAATGAATGTTGAAAACTAAAAATAAATAAATTATTTTTAAAAATAAATAATGTGCTGGTTAGGTTTAGGTCTTCCTATTTATTTCTTTTGTATGACTTTTCCTCTTTTAAGTCAGTGCATTGTGTCTATGATTGGTTTTGCTCATACGGCTTTTATGCTGGAGGGTCTCTCCTTTTCTGTGCCTATTTGCCCTAATCCAAGTTCTTGGAATTTACTCAAATCATTGTTTTTTTTCTTTTATTTAGTCAGTTAATATATTTCTCTCTCTTTTGTCCCTACCTAGTCAAGTAAGAAATTCAAAATTTCTAATCATCTGCTTTCCTTTTTCACACTAGCTACGTTCATTTTGTTAGTGCAAAATCTTTTCAGTTTCATGTGTTTGAAATTCTCCAGTATATCTGTTGCCATCTCCTCTATTCATTGCTTTATAATGAAACTTCCTCCTAAATTCTAGCATTCTTAGGAGAAGTGCTTTGCCAACTTCTTGACCCAATTTATTTGGGCCTTCTGAGACAAGGGCATTTAGAATGCCTCTCCCAAAGCCAGGCCTGCTTGACCTATCTCCTCAGGGTTCCAGAGGGTTTTTCCTTCTCTACTACTATCAGCATGAGCCCTCACCAGCTTTATTTCCCTGCCATTGTTAAGGGCCGGTGCCTAGTACCCTAATTCCCTTTAACATTAATTAATTAACTAATTAATTTAACCACTTAACATCAAGTGACCTTTCCAAAGGGACCATTACCAAAGGGCAAACATTTCCCCCAACACTTTAGGGATATACTCTCCCCTGCATGGCCTCTGTTTCTGGGGAAGTGGGCTCCCAACCTAACTCAGTTTCTACATGCCATGCTGATGTCCCAATGCAGCCTGACTGCTGGGTGGAATCCTTCCCCTCATCTGGGGTCTCAAAGGTTACTCCTGAAGATCATTTCTTGCTCCTTGGGCATTGTTCTACCTCTGGCCTGGATTCTGACTCCCAAATTCCTGTGTTCACCTGGAACAGAAAAGAATGAATGACAACACCTCATGGTTAGCCAACAGTCTTCTCCCAGTTCTCTCAGGGAGAAAGAATCCTCCCCACGGAGACATTGCAGTAGCCGAGCACAGACTTCGGGTCATGTGGCAGACTCCATCACGCTGATTTTTCTTCCTCTCTACCCCTTACCCCATGCACCCCCCCCCAGCCCTTTCATGGCCCTAAGCCTTCATCTGTGTGTACATAAGGTGCCCTAACGCACACCCGCTGCGGTTAATCTGTCTGTCCCTGTTCCATCATACACATTCTCTCCACCCTCGGTTCCTGATCTGGCCAATAGAACCAGAGGACTCGAACCCTTGCTCGCTGTGTGCCTGGACTAACATGGTGCCTCTGATGGTGGATTTGTGGCCTTGGACAAGT